CTCCATCTACTGATTGATGCCTGGATGGCATGTTCCCTAGCAATACCGCAGCTGGGCAATGGGACTCTACAACCAGGGTCCCCCATGTGATGCCCACCAAGGCTTCAATTGGCCACTGGAGATTTCATTGGCTGTGCAGGTTTTTTTAAAAGGTTGATTTGGCAGCAGCTGCCACCACAGCACAAGGATCTTCATTTAGCTTGGAGAAACGATGGCTGAGGGGGGCGACATGATCGAGGTTTATAAGATTATGCATGGGCTAGAGCAGGTAGAGAAAGAAGTTCTTTTCTAAGGGAATTAGATAAGCATATGGAGCAGAGGTCCATCAGTGGCTATTAGCCACAAGGTATAGATAGGGACTCTGGGGCAAGTGATGCTCTGTCATCTTGGTGCTTGGGGGGGTCAACAGTGGGAGGGCTTCTAATGTCCTGGCCCCACTGGTGGACCTCCTGATGGCACTGGTATTTCTGGCCACTATGTGATACAGAGTGTTGGACTGGATGGGCCTTTGGCCTGATCCAACATTGGCATCTCTTATGTTCTTATAAGCTGTGGCAGCCATTTTAAGGCCGGCTCCGCCTCCTGCAGCAAGTTTGCTGTAGTGGTTAGGAGCGCGGACTCTAATCTGGGAGAACTGGGTTTGATTCCCCACTCCTCCACATGCAGCTGCTGGTGTGACCTTGGGTCAGTCATAAATTCCCTCAGAGCTGTTCTCTTAGGAGCAGTTCTCTCAGAGCTCTCTCAGCCCCACCTATCTCACAGGGTGTCTGTTGTGGGGAGGGGAGGGGAGGGGAAGAGAAAGGAGACTGTAAACTGCTCCAAGACTCCTCTGGGTAGTGAAGGGCGGATTTCTCTTCTCTTTTTCATCTTCTCTTCTGTGGCGGCCATTTTACGGCTGCACTCACCGCGCTGTTTCAGAATCCCAAAAGTGGCCTGCGGGTTTAAAAAAAGCTTTGGAGATCTGTGCTCTACGGCATTTGGTATCGGCCAGTTCTGCATTCAGCAGACTCACCCACGGGCTTTGGACAGAAGTGCGAAGAATTTAGAACCGAGAGCTAAAAATGTGTAGGGCCATCGTCCTTTTCTCGTTTCTTCAGGCTGCGAGGCTTGAACGCTGTATCGATTCTGTTTTCCTCAGAAGGAGGGTCTCCTTCTTCACATGTGCCTGCAAGGTCCAGATGAGCTCAGGAGCTCATTTCGGAGGCCAGCCCATCCTCATAGAGACCCTGAAAAGGTCGACTTCAAGGCATTCCAGATAGCTATTAATACCTTGAAGCTGGCTACATTAGGCAAAGCTGGACGGAGACCTGTGTCAAAAGACAGACTCTCTGTGTGAAAACAACCCGTGTCATGTGCAAACTCTGGGTGCAGACGATCCCCGTGTGGTGTATGTGCACTGGCAAAACCTGACTTTGACCCCGCGTGAAGAGTGAAGCTGACAAGACTCTTTACGCTTCTGATGTTGTATCTTTTTCTGCAAAGACTCCACAGACAACTTTAGGCCTTCCCTGCACACTTTATGCCTTACAACACCCCCTACTCTGTCTCCTTTCACAGATTTATACGCAGCGACAACTGAAGTCTTTTGTTTCTCACGGATCCATCAGGTTTCTGACATGCCCCTTCTTTTCGGATGTTGTCTCATAATACAAAACACTCTTAGCCCTTTTTGTTTTGTTTTCAGGCATCTCTAATTTGGGTTTAAGCACTTACAAAAGGTGTCCAGTTTTGTGCATTAATATTCCCTCTGACCTTCTGACTTGCTTAATAAAGCTTCCTTTGCGAGGTCCCCTGCGGGGCTTTGTGCTCCGGTCCCAAATATAATAGACACGTCTTCCCAGACACTTCGGTCACAACGCAGAAAAAGAAAACAGGAATGATGGTGCTTGGGAGACTTGGTACAGTCCTGCTGTGGGCCAGGACCAGCTCAGAGTAATAACTGAGGCTTCCTCGTTTGAAAGCAGTTCTACAATCCAACCTGCCCACATCCTTTTTCTGTGCACCTGAGAGGACTGTACCATTTCAGAAACAGAATGGCAGGATCAGCTCTCAGCTTCCAAAAGAGGAAACAGGAGAAAAAGAAGTGTAGTTGGGAGATACAAATAGATTGACGAGAGAGGTGATACCTGCCTATGTTTCTCTAGCAAGAGAGCCAACACTTCAAAAACCATCTATTTTCAAAAACGTGTCCCAAAATGATCTCTTTACAGATATTCTGATACAGTGACATTTAACTGACATACTTCTAGGTCAGAACTTGAATTCTGAGTGCCCTTTCAGATAAGAAAGAGGTAAGCTACAAAGGTAGAGGAATCAAAACCCATCAAGTTCTTTAAGTGCCTCAGGTAAAAATAATATTCCATTTAGACGTCACGTCTCATCCATCCATAGGTCTTTCAGACTAGATACTGGTATCAGTTCTTCAGAAATTGTTTAGTGCAATGATAACAGAGGAACAAAAAAAATAATTAAAAGGCACAAGCAGGTTTTTTCCACTTTTTCCTAATGCTTTATAATATTATTCTGTGTTATGCAGATTAATGAAATCGCCATAAAACAGCTAAAAATATTATACCAATTTCTGTACACTATACACCTCTATCCTACACCTTCCAACAATACACATTTCAACTTCAGGAGAAATGTACAGCATAGAAAGAGTTTTTAAAAAAATACATTCCACACACCCACACCCACTCTGTTCCAATGGGTACATTCTAGAAATCAAATTCAACTGATATTACCGATCTGTTGGTTTATTGCTGGGACGCAAGTTGATGCTGTCGCTTTATGGTTAATAAAGATTGTGGCGAGAAGAAAACCAGCACTGTCGAGGCATCTGCTAATTAAAAGGGGGGGGGGATACATTTTGGATTTTGGACGCCAGTTTGGTTGTGCTCTTATAATGTCTGTGGCGGCCGCCGTTGCTTCTCCTTCCCTGTGCTCCCGGCTCGGTCAAGCGGTGGGATTTCTCTTTCAAGCGGTGGGATTTCTCTTTCGTCACAATGGCCGTCTCCCGGATGAGGTTCTCAGTCTCTTCCAAGTCACTTTACAGGACTGTCGTGGGCCTTGCTGAGAGCTTTGTCCTGATGCTTGAATTAGACTGGACCGATCCTGTCTTGGAAGCAGGCCTGGATAATCGACCAGTAGTCAGAGATCCAACTCTTGTTTTCAGACGGCTGCATTTTCAGCCACAACGAATTGCGATACAAGATTCGGTTCGCCCACCGCTAAATCTCTTGAATACAGCATAGGGGTGTTCCCGTCGGATGACAGCGTCATTTCCTCTTGACTAGGGCTGCCAACCTCCAGGTGGGACCTGGGAATCTCCTGGAATTACCACTGATCTCCAGACAACAGAGACCAGTTCCCCTGGAGAGAATGGTTGCTTTGGAGGATGGGCTCTATGGTATTATACTGCGCTGAGGCCCCTCCCCTCCCCAAACCCCACCCTTCCCAGGCTCCGCCCCTAAAATCGCCTAACCCTGAGTCTGCAACCCTACGCTTGACTTTACCTAACTTCAGAAATGTTACCCCCCCTTGCCTAACTTCTGTCATCTTTATTTACAAGGAATATATTAAAGGGGGGTTCCCTTTAAAGAGGTGCATCCTCTGACCCACCCGAAATTAAGTGCAACCAGAAATGTTCTTAGGATTTCTAAGGTATCGCTTTTTTAAAAAAACATAAAAGCTGTCGATTCCCATCAAGATATACTACATGCAAGGTTGCCGTTATCTTGAAATAAAATACAAAATTGGCATTTCGAGCTAGAAGAAGCTGTAGCCTTGGTTATCCCTTTGGTGGCAGGCACTTCACATACAGGCTAGGGACAGATGCATGCCAAATCTAGGTTGCATTGCTGTTTGCATTGTACTGTACAATTCACAAATCTGATGTCGTTAAAGCAGCAACTACTTTGCACGGCAGGCTGGCTACTCTGCTAAGCAATTGATTTAAAATAGTATCCCAGCTTCTCCCGCTGCCTTTAGCTTTTCTCTTTTTTTGAAATATATTGCTTTTCCGAAGCATTTATATTTGGTGCGCATATTAGCGTACAAGTGGGTCACCAAAGAAACTGATACCCCCATTATGCCTCAGTTAAACCAGCTGGCAAAAGCTAGACCTTGGTGAGGAAATACAAATAATAATAAGTAAAAATCATACGTGAAGGCCAAACGAAACCCAAAGGAATTCTACGGCATGTAGAGATGTCTGGCACAGGGCTGCAGGTTGTCAGTTATATACACATTTACATTCGTTACACTGGGCTCAGGGTTTGAAACGCTTCAAGTCTCTTTTGCTGGCTTACGAAGGAAATGAGGATAAAGGAATGCGTCGTAACGCTTAGACGCACCGGGACTCTTTCTGAGACGCATCCCGAAAGTGCAGCGTCCGAGCCTGCTTGGCAAGTGCTGCGTGTTGGAATATGCATGCAAACACTTCCTCTTCATGCATTGGAGCAAGCAGGGTTTTCACATTTTCTTTCAGCATTATTAGCCAATATGTTAACGGTAAAATAAATGCGTAACACTCGTCCGTAAAATACTGAGAGATGCAGTCGAGTCAAATCGCTGCACTTATCTGCATCGTGAAGTCTATCGATACTTCCTTTTTAAATATATTTTGGGCGAGGGGCGAGGCATACACTATTTACACACTCCAGGCAAGCAGTATCGTTACATATTTGAAAGTTTCTGTGCTTATGTAGGTAACCTGGGCGAGATAAGATGAGAAGGAGAGGGAGTCCCGTCCTGACCTCCTGGGCTACTGAACAATCACACGCCTCGAGGACAGCCAGTCTTACCTCCAGCTTTAGCACCATCGTTTCACTCACATGTCAGAAAAGGAGGACCCTAGTTTGTACAAGCAGTCTGTACAAAGCAAATGAACAAAATGAAATGAGGGGGGGGGGGAGGAAAACGGCAAACAATGACCAAAAACTCCCACAAAACACCGTCAAGAGAAGATTTTGGGGAGGAACAAAATTAACGAGAGGCTTTTATTCCTCACGCAGCTGCAGGCAGTAGCGGTGATAGCGAACCTGGAAAAATACTCGCTCAAGTACAGAATGCGTCATCCCGGGTAGAGTGTAGTGTTCGATCACACCCACGTGCTTGAATCCCAAAGACTCGTACAACTTGTGAGCCGCCACCTTCACCGCCGTGGTTCCCAGTACGACAGAGGAATAGTTATTTATCATGGCAAACTCCAGCACCTTGCGACCCAGGGCTTTGGCAATCCCTTTACCACGGTATTTGGAGTCAACAGACATCCGACGCAGCTCCAGCGTGTTGTCATCTTCATTGCCTCGGGCAGCAACGATGCCCACCACGTTGCCATTCAGCATTGCCACCCAGAAGCAGGAACCTGTGTGTACAAAGGACCGTGTGAAGATGAAGAAAACAGCTCTTTTGCAAATACACAATGTCTTGATGCTTTCCCTAAAGCGCTGGTTTGAACTATAACCTCAAAGCAAAGTAGGCACACTGGAAAGAATGAGCTAATAAACCAATAAATGCTGCCCCCCCCCTGCCCAATTTGCTAGGGTTGCCGACCCCCAGGCGGGGCCTAGTTATCTTCCAGAATTAAAATGGATCTCTAGGCAACAGAGATCATTTCCACTGGAGAGAATGACTGCTTTGGAGAGCGAAGTCTTTGGCATTATATCTGAGGTCCCTCCCCTCCCCAAACCCTACCCTTCCCAGGCCCCACCCCAAATCTCCAGGAATTTCCCAAAACAGAGTTGGCAACCTTGCAGTGAGTGTTAATCAGAAGGCTACACTTGCAAGATAGGACCTGACTTCATTACTGTGATGGGACAGGTTTGGTTCTGCCTCTCCCTTAGAGCAACCCACAGAGAGCTTGTGAGAGCAACCCACAGAATGCTTGTGAGAGCAGAAGCTGAAAAACAGCAGTATCTGAAGAAGTGAGCAGTGACTCATGAAAGCTCATACCCTGCCACGAATTTAGTTAGTCCTTAAGGGTGCTCCTGGACTCTTGCTCTTTTCTACTGCTACAGACAGACGAACACAGCTACCCGTCTTGATCTAGCAGGTAAGCGAATGGAAGAAAGAGGTGGAGGACTAGAGATTGTATCTGGCTGAGTGAGCTACAGAGCAGAGCGGCTTAAAGGTGAGGACTTTGAGGGCATTACATTCTTAAAAGTATGACCGTTAAGTCAACCTCTACTGAACTGGTCCCTCGGCTCACTTCAGATGAACGGCCCAAATCTGCTAGGAAGGTTGCATGTACTCAGCAAGTTCAATCACTGATCTTTCAAGTCCTGTAATTCTGTGACTCTTTGGGCTACCTTCAGGGCTGATCCCTATACTCCATCTGATTCATGAGAATGAATTTTTAAACATCAAGAACCCATGATGGACAGGCTAGGTTCTGCCTCTCTTTGTGACCAATGGGAGTGGATGGAATGTTGCAGAGTTGTCAGTTAGAAAACAGCAGTTAAGAGGGCAGTTGGGAGTTGAGAGGGAAAAGAGGATGTCTGACTGAGTGAAACTATGGAGAAGAGCTGCTTAGAGTGGACTGAAAATAGTCAGTTTGTAACAAAGAATCCCAGTTGTGGGTATAGGACTACCAATCAAAAGTTCAACAGAAGCGAAACATTGTAACTTTCTCCAGTGTTAGGTTCATATCATAAATAAAAGTTAACTTCTTGTTTTGTTTAACTAGGGGTACCACATGTCCTCTTTTTAGAGGACAGGTCCTCTTTTTCAGGTGTCTGTCCTCTTTTGGGCTCTGAGCCAGTTTGGTGTAGTGGTTAAGAGCAGGGACTCTAATGTGGGAGAACCGGGATTGATTCCCCACTCCTCCATATGCAGCTGCTGGTGTGACCTTGCGTCAATCATAAGTTCTTTCAAAGCTGTTCTCTCAAGAGCAGTTCTCGAAAGAGCTCTCTCAGCCCCACCTACCTCACAGGGTGTCTGCTGTGAGGAGGGGAAGAGAAAGGAGATTTTCAGCCGCCCTGAGACTCCTTCGGGTAGGGAAGGGTGGGGTATAAATCCAATCTCTTCTTCTTTTTTAAAAACTGGTGAAAATGTCCTATTTCTAGTTAGTACCAACGACCACAGCTTCAATAGGAGGGGTATTTAAAATGAGATTTTTCATCATGATCGCTTGTTTGAAGTAGCCAGTCAGGAAATATGTCCTCTTTTTTGCTTTTCAAAATATGATAACCCTCGTTTAACCCTATGGGCTGTGTGTCTCAGGAAAAGAAACATAGACAAGTCAATATCTCAGTCAACATGTAGGTATAAATCTCTATCTCTCCTCCCTAAAATACATATTAGGAAATGAATAAATAGCGGCAACATATGACTGGAATAGGGTTTGAGACCTTAACCCCAATAACTCTGTGTGAGTGAGGCCCCGTTATTAAAGAGGGCTGGGCTACCCTGTCTGGGGGTGTCTCTGGGAACGAGAGAGATGACCTGAAAGCGGAAATGATCCAGGCCCTCTCTGTATCTTTAAAGACAAGAAGGGTGGTCAATGTGGCACCTGACCTACTTGTAACCCTGGGGGGGGGGGTCTGCTGAGGAGGGTGGTAAGCGCTTAGGGTTCCAAGCTCCAGGCTGGAAAATACCTGGAAATTTTGGGGGCGGAGCCTGAGGAGGGCGGGGTTGGGGGAGGGGCTTCAGTGGGGTACAGTGACATAGAGTCCACCTTCCAAACCAGCCATTTTCTCCAGGCGAACCTCTATCACCTTGGAGATCAGTTGTAATAGCAGAAGATCTCCAGCCATCGCCTGGAGATTGGCAATCCTATAGGCACTCCATGTGAGTGGAGGAGGGGGCACCACAGAGCCATACAAAAGTACCCTGCCGTTCTTCCTTGCCAAGGACAGTTGCCATGAGATATAATGCCAAAAAAGTCCACCCTCCCCATTTTCTCCAGGGGAACTGATCACTGTAATTCCAGATCTCTGGGCCCCACCTGGAGGCTGGCAACCTACTTCATGGGAATCATTCCCACTCACGCTGCTACTTCACATGTTGGACTCTTTTCGAACCAGCTAAGCAAAATAAATAACCGACAAACCCATTTCTACAGTCCATATTACTGAGCTGGGACCAATAGCAGAAAATTCCGGCATCAGATCCATCTCTAGTTCAAACTTTTTTTTGAGCCAGGTTGTCTTTTCCCCTTGATGTATTAAAAGGAGCTTTTCCATATTAGGGGGAAAATATACATAGAATGAACGAGATCACTGCAAATGAAAGAAAGTTATCAAAACAACTCTTGCAACTGAAGACAGGAATTCCTTGGGTATCAATATCTCTAAGTACAATTTTTTGAACCAGTCCAATCAATAGAAGGCAGCTTAACAGAAATTCAGTGAGACTGGAGGCCATTTTACAAAACAGGCCCAAATATCTATGTTATATATAAGATTTTAGGAGAACATATACGGGCAGAAGATCCAGGATACATAGCTAAACGGGAAAGAGATTTTGGTTCACGAGTAAACCCTCAATTGTTGGTCCTCTATTTGGTCTTCACCTCCTTTCACTTCATTTTCTATTAACATAACACCGCTTACATTTAAAGATGTAACCCCAACCCATCTACATCATATTACAAGTCAATATCCAGAGTCTTGCTGGAAGAAGTGTGGCAAAACAGGTTCTTGTTTTCATACCTGGTAAGAATGTGCAAAAATGCTACACTTCTGGACGCTAAACATACATCTTATCAGTAAAACTACACGTTATTCCATTTCCCTATGACCCAAGCAAATCGATTAAGAGTTTTAGACAATAAAACAATCACTTAAATCAGATGATTACTCATTGTACTGTTATTAACAGCAACAAAATTCCTAGTGGCAAAAGGCTGGAAAAGGAAAAATTATCTAACATCAGAAGCTGGTATAACAAAATTTTGAAAATCATGATAGTGGAACAGATCTTAACACAACTGAAACGTATGGAAACCCCTAATTATATCTCAGACTTCTCAGAAAATGGCTCCCCTTTATTTCATATATATGAATAGCGAAAGAATATGGTATAAGACCATCTAAATTTAAAGAAATATCTATTTGTCTGTCTGTCTTTCTGTACTAAACCAGAAGAACTATGGGTTGAAACCAGATATATTATCAAGGAAGAATGTGCAAAGACTATTCCTGTAGCCAAAGAAATGAAAAAGCTTAAATGGATGACTGATGATACTCTTAACATGGCTGAAGACAGACAAGAAGCAAACCTAAAAGGTGACAGAAATAGAATCAGAACTCTAAATGCAGCACTTCAACAACTGGCATGCAGAGACAAAGAGAACTATTATAATAACCAGTGTAAAGAAACAGAACAATAAAAAGAGCAAGAGGTCTGTTAAAGCATGGGTTAGGTTTGCTGAAAGATCAACATGGAAATATGTTAACTGAATAATAATAATAATAATTTTATTCAGGGCTCTTTTTGTAGCAGGAACTCCTTTGCATATTAGGCGACACACTCCTAATGTAGCTCATCCTCCAAGAGCTTACAGAGCTCTTCTTACAGGGACTACTGTAAGCTCTTGGAGGATTGGCTACATTAGGGGTGTGTCGCCTAATATGCAAAGGAGTTCCTGCTACAAAAAGAGTCCAGATTTTATTTATTTATTCAATTGTACCCCGCCTTCCCCACCAATGGGAACAATACACTGAAGAACTATACAGAAGAGATGAAAGGATGAGAAATTCCTTCCAAGAAGAAACTTCTAAAGAAGAAACTACGTTTTTAGAAAGTGAAGGGAAGCACTGAGTAACACTGAGAGCAACTGGGAGAAATCACTAGGAGTCGAGGGGTTATCAACAGAGCCATTCCAAGCCACAAAGATGGAGCCCATCAAAATCTGAACAAGAACATGCCAGCAAAAAACAAAACAAAACAGAACAAACCGGACCACAAATTGGAAATGCTCTATCAACATTCCAATTCTACATAAAGGGGACGTCAAAGACTGCAGCAACTATTAAATCATTGCATTGATTTCTCATGCAAGTAAAGTAACACTCAAAATCTTATGACAAAGACTGTTACCACATGTGGAATGAGAAATGCCATATGTTCAAGCTGGATCCAGAAAAGGAAGGAGCACTAGAGATCACACTGCAAATTTATGGTGGTTACTGGAGCATAACAGAGAATTTCAGAAGAAAATCAGCTTGTGTTTCATAGATTACAGCAAAGCTTTTGACTGTGTGAATCATGAAAAGTTATGGTTAGTTTTATAAGGGGCTGCGGTGGCACAGTGGTTAAGATGCTGAACTGCAGACTGGAAGGTTGGTAGTTTGGCAGTTCGAGACCTGAGTGCTGCATGACTAAGCGAGCTCCTGTCTCTGGTCCCAGCTCCTGCCAACCTAG